TGCAATCGCCCACACAGCAAGACAAAATGCAGGGAGAAGTTGCCGTAGAAAGCTGCCGAGCAGCCCCTGCTAAAGTAGATCCACTCGAATTTTACAGTCGGGTGAAAGTGGACGGCACAACTCCGCCCGTTTTGGTCTTATCATCCCCTGTACCAATTTAAAGGGGGGGTTCTTTAGGCTCCATGTTGGTTTTCGGGCTGTCGTGCAGCTTACTTTGCCATTTCTTCAGTCTCTAGCCACTTGCCTTACATTACTTGTTGACTTTTAGTCAGACTTGGCAAACTTTACACATTTGGGCAGGTGTGCTCCTCGTTTATGCAAAGGTTTAGTAAAGACAGTCAACTTGACTGGTTTCAGCTGAAAGCCGTGCCCTCTCGCATTCACACCCAAAGATGGAGTGGGGAGGATTTGACCTGGAGATATCAAGTTGTGATTCTATGTCCCCTTTGTGGGGAGGAGAACGGACATATTATGTCTCTGGCTATTTTGGGTCATGCTGACCCCGGATAAATCAACCCGCTCAAAAGGAGGTTGTTAATCCTCAGTTTTCATTACGAAAGTTAGGAGCCCCCTTGTGCCGTTCCACACGCAGAACACGTAGCTGAACAATCGTCGTTGAATGTTCACGGATCCTGTACAACAGCTAAAGTTTACTGGTGCTTGGCAAAGGGTAACTGTACCTGAACTAAGAAGAAACAAGGTATCAATCCTGGGTTCCCTTTGGGGTTTTCTCGAGGTCCGCTGGACCGTCGCCTCCTGGCCATAGCAGCCGAAGCTTCGCTGCCCGGCGCGGCCGGCACGGCGGCAGATGCTTCGCTGGACCTGAAAGAGCTGGCACGCGAGCTGCACCTCGGCCCGAAAAGTGTGCGGTCGTATCTTTCGTTTTGGTTTCCTTTGGAATTTCACTTGGGATTCTTTTTTTGGGACTTCTCTTAGGGCTTCCTAAAGGCTTTTGCTGGGCATTTGCTTGTTTTCTTTCCGTTTTCCTTTTTGGTGTCCTTTTGGGATGTTCTGGTGGTTTCCATTTTCGGCTTCCTTTCCAAGCTGGGGGGAATCCACCATACCCACGGATGCAATTTGGATCCAACCACAAGCGCCGAAAACATGGCCAGAGCCTTTTTGTCTCTGGAACCCCAAAATGTTTGATATCCTCTGGGTCATCCTTTTGCAAGGACAGACAAATTGATTTCCCTTGCGACTTCCCTTGGGAATTCCTTTAGGCTTCTTCTGGGCTTTCTGTTTTGCTCTTTGGTGTCCTCTTAGCATTGCTTCGGTCTCCTTTGGTTTTTCTGGAGATGTGGTCCTCTTGTGGCGAGAGCGGATCTTTGAAGCAATGGACCGTACGTTGTTTGCGACCGAGGGGCCCCCATGAAGAACCCTTAGATGAATTCCAGAGTTGCAATCCGTGAATCATCATGATTCACGCAGATTGTGGACCACAAATGTGTTTGGGACATCTTCTGTGAGTAGCCCTTTGACAGTCCGTTTTAAGTGATAGAAAACAGTTGTGTGCATGGGGCCGAGGGGATGTGGTTGTCTTTTATATGCATATTTCAAGTGGAATTGCGGCTATGAACTTCAAGGGACAACCACCTCTGTGGTTGGTAAACACGAATCCCCCAAATGATGTCCAAAGCGCTCTCCAAAGTTCACACCCCAGGCCCTAAAATGGTTGGCCCCGTTTTGGTATCCCTTCAAACTCTAACCAAAGGGAATCGAAGCACTCAGAAAAAGGGTCCAAAAACCACAGGGTCGGTTCCTCCGAGGCCGGAGGTCTCTGTGGCGGAGCTGGTGGAAGCCTTGCGCAGAACCGGGTTCCAGCCTTCCGTCCAGCTGCTCGGCCTTCAAACTTCATGTTATGCTACCAAACGCCCAAAAGGTCTCCTTAAGTCCAAGAGGGACCAAAAGGAGGCCATTTCAAAGATCTGAACCATTCCCCCAGGCAAAAGAACAAGCGAGACTTGCAGGGTCAGTTTTTCGGTTCGTTGAATTCGAAGCACCGTTTAACAGGCCCCCCCCTTTGACCACCCCACCAAACGAAGACTCGCTTTAAGTTGGCCCGAAAGGTGATGTTTTCGAAGAACAGCCAGTGGACATGGAAACACTGGGTGTTTCTACAAGCTGGGTTTTGGCCAAGCTAAGGCTGCGTGTCGGAACGGGTACGTCTGGCTAGTCGACTTCCCGAAGTCAGGCAGGGTTAGCGGCTGTTTCCCAGTGGTTGAAAAGTCTTTGGCTTGTACTGCTTATACTGAGACGGTCACTTTGAGCCTCGTTTTGGGGTGGGTTCTATCTTTAAATCGGTTTTCAGTTTGTTTCTCTTGTTTGGTGGTCTCCTATCGTTTGTGCTCTGACAATATGTCAGGTGCTCAATCTGAGGGGTTACCGTGGCAACTCCCAGACCCGGCTAAAGGGTGCAGTCCAATGGGAGATTCAATGAATGCGGCGGGCTCGATTGCTGGTTGGGGGCCAGGAAAGGAAGGACATGGGTATGCAGTACGCGTTTGATCAAAGTGATGGACACTGATGGAGACCTTGATCTTTTCAAAACCTGAAACCAGGGGTCCCAAAGAGGGTGGGCGGACTTGAACCCGGGGTTACTCGTTTTGGAAATCAACCACGCGTTTAAGTCTACCTTTGTACACAAAAAACGGACTGATCTGAAAGGCCGGGCCGTTCAAAAGCAATCGGATTGGCCCATGTGAGCAGCCCAAGAGCCTTTATGGGTTCCGATAAAGACGACCTCCTTTTGGATGGTTTTGAAAAGGAGGCCAAAGGGAGCCAGAAGGAAGCTCGTCATACTTGGCGGTCCAACACAAAGTCAAGCCTTTTTGAGTGAAGGCGTTTGCCTCCTTTGCTGCCTTCCGCAGATGAGATGTGCGACGGCATCTGAAAGAGAGCGCGAGACCTGTACACAGAATGCGGTTCTCTGCTTGAATCCAGGCAGAACCCTGCCTCAAAGCACAGCAGAGACCCTGCCCCAATCCACTGCCCACATCTTTTTTTGCCCCTGCCCGCTGGGCAAATTAGTTTTTCTTGGTGTTTAAGCTATACTGGGCCCCTTCTTGGCTCTTGAACTGTTTGACGAGAGAGAATCGGGGTGTCAAAATACCTGAAAGATTCATCAAAAAGCAGTCTGGTCAAATCATAGTCAACCCTGTCAACCCTTGGATTTGCTCGGCCAAGTGAATTTTGATTCTACAGTTTCCCTGGCATTCGAACAAACCAAACTGCTTGGTGGTGGTAGGCGCCCTTGATGGAGCTGGTGGTACTTTTCAAGGACCAATAGGTAGCAAAACTGATCCGACTTGTTTGAGTGTGTGTGTTTGCTAGTTTGTTAGTTTGCCTGTTTTTGCCGTTTGTTTGTTTGTTTGTTTGTTTGTTTGTTTGTCTAGCTCGTTCTCTTGCTCGTTTGTTTGCTCGTTCTTTTGCTTGTTTGTTTGCCCGTTCTTTTGTTTGTTTGTTTCTTTGTGGCTCCGTCGTGCTGTAAACGCGCGCTCAAGCGCGTGGTTTCCCCACTGTAATGGACGCAAAACTCTTCAAAGCGTTGTTTGTTTGTTTGTTTGTTTTCTTGTTGTTTTGCGCCTTATCCATTTGTTGGAGGGTCCCCGTTTTAAGGTTGGCTCAAAGGGAAACCGACAAGAAGGCCATTGCGTTTCAGTGTTCTCCGATTCTAGCACATACCCACACTGGACACTCCACAAAAAGAAGGCCACATCTTTGTCCTCGTAGTTGCGTTGGGGCCCAGTCGTTTGGTGTGGGGTTTCATTCAACGTTCCCGTGACTCCAAAGGAGAATGCTGCAGACCTGGGGAAAAAGCTGCGCGCGCGCGGGGGGGGGGGTCCAGAACGGCGCAGTCGCTGCGAAGCGGAAGCAGGTTTCTTTTGACGGTTCTCAACGAAAACCTGAGTTTAGATATCTTTCTTATAGAATCTCACCTGAATGTGTTGTTATCAATGTCGCGCCGGGGAGCGTACGTTGAGCTGGGTGCAAGTACCGTGACACAAGCCCCTCAGAGGTTGAAAAGGCATGGTGTTTTCGGTGTTTTTCCGTTGGTTCTTGCTGCGCCGACTCGGCGCGACGAGGCACTTGCGCTTTCACGGCCAACGCAGCCTGCTTTCCGATATTTGTGCGTTTGTTTCTGGCAGTTGTGAAATCTTCGCTGTCTTCGGCATTTACGCTTCCCCCCCCCCCCTTCGCCCTCAGCTACCATGCGTCTCCCGGAAATGTTCGATCGAAGGCCGAGGAAGGATGCAATTGTCGCTTGGAGATTCGCGTAATGTTGGACCCACTTTACACAGCCCTTCTGTAGAGAAAATCCTGGGGGTCTGGGAGGGACAGTACTTACTTTAGTATTGCCAAGGCTGAGTCTCAGATTCCCAGTGTATTGCCAATTCTACTTCAGTATTGCCAAGAACCGTTTCTTGTCAGCAACCCCCAAAAAGCTTGGACACTAAAGAGGACCCCAAAACAGTCACATTAAAGAGGATCAGGGCTTCTTGTGGGCGACCCCCTTTGTGTGACTGTTTGCCCGCACTTTTTTGTAAATAAGTTGTCTTAAATTTGATGGTTTGGAGGCCACTGGCAGAATGGACTTGCTAGATCCAAGGCCTTTACCCTTTGAGCTGGGAAGAGCTTGGTTGGGTGAACCACCCTAAAGGTAAAAGGCTTTAGTTTAAGAATTTCAGCAACCCAACAAACAGCTGGACACTACGACTTGTTTGCCAAGTTGTTTTGGCCCGTATTCTTTCCAGCGTTCTTTCCGACAAACAAACTTTCCACAATAGAGGACCTCTAAAGTAGTCACAGGATCCTGAATTAGAAAAGCATGTACCAACAATAGAGGGTACTATTCCAAAAAAAGATCCAACATTAAGGCGCAGGATGGCATGACTCGTGGATCGCTGATTGGCGTTACCGTAGACCAAAATGTGGGGTACAGGGTTACAAAGCGGCGGTTCAGCGCCAAGACCCTCGACATGCACTCAATCCATTTGCCCCAGGCTGAGGGACCGCAGCTTTTCAGCGCACCTTCGAAGGCGTGGTCCAAGGATGCCGCGGCAAATTGGCCGAATGGAACACTCGAGCAACCCTTTTCTGTTGGAAGCAACCTAAGTATAAACATGCTTGAAGAAACCTCGCAAAAGCACATGTTGGGATAAATCCCAGGCCCTAAGTCGATTAAAAGGAGCTCAGTGACTGCGTCTCAGGGGTCGCTTGTTGTTGACCATTCTGGTTTTGGAAGTCATCCCAATTTTCATTAGAAAGGGCTCCACGATGCAGACCCCATCGCACGGCCGTCACATCAAGCTCTTGTTCTGCCTCGTAGCATGGAACACCAGGCCGCCTGCTCCTTTTTCGTTGAAGTAACTTTGCCAGCAAATTGTTGGTATGACAGCGTGCTAGGCCTGGCCTTGTCCGCACTTGTGGCAAACCATGACTCCCAAGCTGCCAACGGGACGCCTTTTGGTGACGTGCGCAGAAAAGCCTGTTGTGCACAGCATGAGCAACGGATAGGGTCTACTTTCGTTTTGCTGAATCCACGTATAGTTCTCGCAGGTCGAGTATCATGTTGGTAGGCTAGATCCGGTCCAGCAAGAGCGTGCTGCAGATTCAGGAAGCTGAACTCCCCCCGGTCAAATTCACGTAGAGACAGGAAACGTTATCTAAGGAATGCAAATATTTGAAGCTCGGAAGCCATCTTAGATGCCAGGCTTGGTAAATGTGCCGAGCAGTACTTCGACAACTTGCGGCCAATTTGAGAAGGGTGTGAAGGACTCATGAATCAGGACAGTTCCCACACAACTCAGAGGACTCTGCTTTCTCATGTCCACTGCCTCACATTTTTACTGTGGCTCATGCGGGGCGGGGCGTATTGGTGTTGCGTATTTGGGGCCCTTGATCGTGCGCAGCTCGGATTCACCCATCGTGCCCCAGACCAGGCAGAGGTGGGCCCGCCGTTGCTAGGATTGGCCGGTTGGGCTTTTTTTGCATAAGGTCACGGGCGTCATGAAGCCAAAAAGTTGACATTGGGATGTCTTGCAAGAGAAACAATTCAATGCGTTTGCTGGCAGTTGCCAGTTGTGTTTTGTTTTGATGCTTCCTTGTATCTGGCTTGTTCTTGGCATGGACCCTGCGTCCCCCGCCACAGCTGAAAGGGCCTATTGTTGAATCCCCGAAATCCTTTGATCACATGTCAAATCGCTAGTTGCCTGTGATTCCGTAGAAACCCCCTTGAGAGCAAAAAAGTGACACAATAGACACATGATGAGAGTCCCACTTTCGATTGGAGCAACATTACGCATACCCATTGGTATGCGTTTGCATTGCCCCCCCCCCCACGGGGCGCTGCGCGCGCTCCACCCATTCGATCTGGTGGGCAGGTCTTGGCAGAGAGTTGTGCAGCACAAAAAGCAGGCCGCTTGGATGCGATATGATGGGATACTACAGATACCTAGGGTCCGAAAATCGGTGTCCCCAAACAGAGAGTTTGTGTTTCAGTAGGGACCCAAAGCTCCTCCATTAAGATTCACATCCATATAGTCTTGCCAAAAGCCGAAGGAGTTTGATCATGTTTGATCATCACATCACCAAACGGACACTTTTCTGTTTTCTTAGTTTTCTGCAGAATTGGAATAATATGCAGAGGTTAGCAACGATGAGATGTCGGAAGCCACTTGTGACTGCAGCTTGGCGCGAGTGAACTGTGAATGCAATCAAGCTGCATGAAGGTTCATCAGACAAGTGCGCAAAACCAGGGACCTCCAAGGAAGATGGCCGGGGGGGGGGGGGGTGGGGGCTATTCCTTGTGAAGCCCAGGCCAAAGCGGGGCTCCTAGGCCCAGGCTCACGTCAGGTACTGCTGCTCCTTCGCCACGTGGTCCTGGTGCTGGCTGTCGCTACCCTCGCTCTGTTCAGCAGGGAGCCATGGGCTCTACGTGTAGGCGGGTGTGCCCAAACGGGTATGTGGTAAAAATAGGGATTTGTTCCCACAAAGTGGCAGTGTTCCTTTTGGTTTCCCTTACACAGATATTAGGCACTCAGACACGCAGACGCACTTACACACAGACACACAGACACACAGACACAAGAGCACAAGTGGCCCAAAGTGGGTGGTTTTTCTTTGAACTTCCTTTCAGTCAACCTTGTATAAGGGGTACCCTCAACAAAGACAAAGCCATGTGGCGATTAAATTGAGTATGGAGGCCGCTGAAAAATGGCTGCTGGAAGGAACAGCGTGCGCAAAATATGTCCATTGGTGCCCAATTGAAGTTTATGCCCATACGTGTGTGTGTGTAATATGAGCACCTGTACCAGTTTGGTTACTTTTGGTTTCCTTAGAGGGCCCTGCTACTAGCCAAAGCGAAACCGCCGACGAAAGCTTCAGGACTGGCCCTTTGCAGGAGGTGCTTGTGTTTTCCTCGGTGGCAAATTCTTTTTATAAGCTTTCTTTGGCCAGGTGTCAAAGCTGCCCCAAACCACAGCGGTTTCCTGTGGGTCTCCTTTTCAAAGCGTGCCCCGCCACTTTGGCGCCACTTGATCTGAAGTAAATATCCCCCAAGCCGTGAACTAGGGGCCTTACAAGGAAGAAATCCTGCCAGTTGCGGCCAAAGTGGCGTAGCCTTGCCGTTTTAGAGTCTTTGAGGAGTATGTAGCTTCCCTGTTCAGATTCCAGAAGCAAGAAACGAACTTTTCCTGGCCAGTCAACTCAGTAAGTCAGAATGGGGTAAGAGCCCCATTCTTCTAGCAGGATGATATCTCCATGTTTCAAGGGTCAGTTGGACACAACCAACTTCCGAGTTCCCCGAAGTGGAGCGAACTCTGGTCCCCAAGACTTCTCTCGGGTTGCTGCGCAGCTCCGCTAAGGTCAGAGCCTGTGGCTAGCGCCCCTCAGTGCGACCTTGACCCATGTGCTGCCGGCTTTGCAGGCGCCTACGGACAACCTCCGGCTTGAATTGTTGACCTATGGGATTTGTGAGGGCTGGAACACCTGTAAACAGTGTTGTTTGGGATGCAAATTTTAGACCTTGAGAACATGTTCGCCTCGGCACCACGTGTTATTCTGGGCCAACCGAAGCTGAAATCAAGAGTGTCTCAAAATGAGGGGCCAGTTCCTCCAGGTTGTTGGTGTCCTTTTGGGTTTCGAAGAATTATGGGGGCGGGGTGCCAGTTTGTCCCAACCCCACTGTCGTTTAATCTAAGTCTTTCCTGGAAGTCGGTACGGGCAAATCTATTGATTTAAGCTTTGGTTTCCCTTTGAACCAACCAAAGAAAAGGGTCCCCTACCAGGAGACACAGCCGCTATGATCGCCCTTCAACATTCCATCAGGAGCCGTCCAGCAAGCTCTGGATGAGGCGAGACTCGCAGGGCTCTCCTGCGCCATGGTGCCAGACCCCCGAAATTCGCTTGTCCAAGGCCAACCTTTCGGATTTCCTCTTTTGGGTTGTTTAGTCCATGTTTGGTCAAGGTCCCCAAATAATAGCCTTCTGCCAAGGAACAGTGTTGCAAGTAAATTCGCACATAGGGCCGTAGGGCTATGAGAACACCCAACGAGTGGGCACGAATCGCTTTAAAGCGCAGACCCAACTGAACAAGTGTTTCCCCTGTTTCCTTTGGTATGTTGCCCCTTGAAAGAAGAAAGCAACCAAATGGCTGGGCAGAGGTGAGGCTTTGCAACTCATGGCCATTTTCGGCCAAGAAACACATTCCGGAGATCGGGCAAGCGATTGGAATATGTGCAACCACAAGAAGATGCAATTGAGCAACCCGTCAAATGCAGATCCTGGGCCCTTCTTGAGGAGCACCCCGCACGCTTTGGGTGGCTGGAAACTTATTCCCTGAGCTCCTGGACTCAATCCTTTTTGGGTTTGGAACATTTTGATAGAAGAACAGCCTCTTTCTTGGCCTATCCACTCATTTCGAGTTGTTTTCATTGTTTGAAGCTTTAAAGGGACCAAAAGGAAGACCACAATTCTGAGGGTCCCCTAAAGAAGAAGACGACACACCCGTTGCTTCGGATGCTGAATAAAGTTTCCCTCTCGCCAGGCTGCAGCGGAGGAGTAAGAGCCGGGGGCATCAGCTGCAATTGCTCGGGTTAGCGTCCGCTTCGCTTTGGTGCGTTTTGCGTTGGATGTTAGGCTGTTAGGACTTCAACTTTGGTGCCAACTCATGGGTTTTCCGGAAAACACCACTAAAAGTTAAACTTTTGGCAGGGGAGCAGAAAGCAACCGAGTTCGGATGAATCCGGAGGGTCCTTTAAAGGAACCCCGAAATGATTAGATTGGGTCCCTACAAGAGCCACCCCTGAGTACTGTTTTGCGGATTAATCTGAAGTTGACCTGAACGGGAACTCATGTTGATGGGAGAGAAATCCTTCATTTTGAACCCCGAGAAAACCGGAGTCCTCCAAAAATCATTTGGTTGGCTTTCCTAGCTTTGATAGTTTGATCATTTTGCCCCAGTTCTTCACTCGGGGCACTTCCGGATTCTTTTCTCTCGCTTCCAAACTTTCCCGAAGACGATCTCTTCTGAGATGATTTGTTAGACACGAGTTCGGACTCTGTTGGGCCACTCTACAGATGCGAGACATAGGGCACCCTTGGATGCGGTATCCCAGTAAGGCCCTTATTTTGGTACCAGTCTGTTGTCAGGTGCCATTGCCCCCATGCCGGACGAGGGGTGACTTGAGCCGCCATACCGTGCCCCTGTCCAGCAAGGCGTTCGCCGTTAATTCGAATTTCGCATTTCACAGCTCGGCATATCGGCGAGCTTGCCCCCAAGAGCGGGGCAGTGTACAGTCCACGGCTGGGATATGGCGTCCAGGCTCACCCTAAGACAACTTGAGAGTACTCAAATGCGTAGCAAGTTGGTGGTCAAGTTGGCTTGTTTCAACTGGCAGGCGGATTTCGACGGCCGAGAAGCAGATTCCAATGGCTGCCCTTCTTGGCAGTGGCTTCATGGTGGTTTCTTTGTGAAATGAAGCGTTTGACAGCTTCCCACGTGTGCTGAGGTCGAAATGGTTTTGCTGGTCTACTGAGTACTATATTTGGAGATATTTGAAGGGAAGATCAACAGTCAAAATCAATCCCTAGATCGGGTGATCATAAAGGCAGTTACAGGGGGTGACCACACGTGACACCCAAAGCAGCCAAAGAAGTGCTCACGTTCTTCCATGAACATGAAACTAAAGCTGGCTCAATACCCCCACCCCGTTTTAGGTAGAAAAGGCCTAGGTTCGCTGCAATGTTTTGAGCTTTCGCGCCCGGACTGCCCTCAGCCCGTAGATCGATGGACTTTCAACCCTCGGAAGCCCAAGCGATGAGGTCTGTCGGAACCCGGGTCAATTTGTTGCGAACCCAAGGCATTCTGAAATCGCAAGGCTACATCCTGGAAGATCTATTCGTCGCTTAAGCAACCCAAAGGTGAACAAATAAGACCAACTTACTCGAGTGGATCTCATGATTTCGGTCGTCAATTTGTTTTTTCCGCCTCCCAGGTGCAATCCTGGAACGGACAGAGCAAAAGTACCGGACATCGCTTCCCACAGGTAGTCAGCACCCTCTCTGATTCCGTTTTGGTTGGCTGGCTTCCGCCAATTTGTACGAGGGTCACTGGTTGTACCTGGGCATACGCCTAGCCGAGGAATTCCCCTCGGAGGTGCGGCAAATATCCTTACACTATTTCAGTCGTTTAGGTTGACTATGAAGTCGATTCTGATCACGTTATGCTTTGGGTGCAGCCTGGGGCCCTGTGATTGGGCCAAGTAGTTCACTGCCACAGGTTGCAACTGGGGTTCGACCGATGGCCTCCATACCTGGCTCAAGTTTTGTAACGTCCACCGAGCGCGGTGTCGCCCTTGGGGCTGCCTGGCGCGTCCGGCCTGGTGGGATGGGGTCCCCCCCCCAAAAAGGAACCAAAATTCCTGGGCCCTAATTTGGGTCCCCAATAGAGCAGCCAGAAAAGTTCGTGAAGCAACTACTTTAAACCCCTGGGGGCCATTTCATGGAACCTTCCAGAACTCTATCCAACCGCTCCATGGAACCCGACCTCCGGAACCTTCTGAGCAACTGCTCCATGGAACCTCCGAAACCGTTCGCAACCGCACTATGCCAACCCCTCCAAGCCCTCACTCCGCTCACACAGCCATAGCTCAGAGAAGCTCGGAGCCCTTCACCTTGCCTTCTTTTGGAGCGACCGCCGCATGTTTTGATCTTTGGGCCGGGGCGCGGACAGGCTACAATCATCTCTCATCTCTCGTTGATGTTCCCTAAAATGGGCTGGCGGTTGAATTGAGGGCATCCTTCTTTGGGGGTCGGTAGTTTTGGGGGTTGCGGGTTGGAGGGTTTGATTGTTTATGAGGGTTTGAGGCGTTGCTTGCTTTGTGGGCATCCTTGTTCTTGGCCAGACAAACGGCTTGCCATGTTTATGCTTTTTGCCTCCTCTTCAAAGCAGCAACAAGATGAGTTTATTCAGGGGTCTCAGTCTGGGCACAGAAGCGTTTGTTTTCTTTGTAGAGGGACCCCCCCCCGTTCGGGAATTCCCCTGTTTGGAAACAACACCCAAAATCGCGAAGTCCCCCAAACGGAACTCACGATCAGGAGGTGGTTGATCGGAAGTCAGACGCGCCGAGTTACCCAATGCAGCGATCACTGGATCATGGATCGCAGTTGATCACAGTTGATCACAGAGGATCACAGCGGATCACTGTTGCCGTTGCCGCCGTTGCTTTGCAAAGAAAGAGCAAAATGCCAAGCGGCCCCGCACGGCAAATCTGAGACGATTGTTGCTAGAGTTACCTGGTTACTGTACCAAAGCCAGACAGACGCGTCGTTTCTAAGGTAGTCTAATGACTGCGGATACACACACCCCTGCACCAGTTGTCCGGAGTGCTTTTTTTTCCGCTTGATGCCTCCAAGATTTTGGAGCCCTGGCATGCCAACTTTTTTTTGAGGCGAAAGGCAACGGTAGGTACTACAACCATGTGTGGTTTGCCTTTAATTCTTCATGACGGCTTTCTGGCTTTCTCTGGTTGCTTGCTATAAGGAAACTGGAAGTATTGGGCCACATACTATTTTATTGGGACATGTTCCTGTGGGGACCATTGCCAGAAGCTCTCCAGCGATATCATCAAAGGCTGAAAGTGTGAAGCCATATGTGACATTGTCAAACGACCCCTGTACGTTGCATGGAGAAGCAGCTGGTTGGGATTGAACCTAGACACAACTCTGATACACCACCCACCGACTGGTGCATGATTTTGTCCATCCAGAGCAGGGATGCCCCACAATTTCGCACAACTATGGGTTCAGGGAGCGACAACCACGCTGACGCAAGGAGGTTTTTGGCCATTACCCACCTACATATCTCTGGCTTAAGTATGGGACGTATACGATCAGCCGTATACAGTCGGCTGGTGAACAACATTACTTGACCATTCTCTTCAACTGCCTTCTAAATCCTAGGGGGTTGAGCCATTTTTCACGAAAGCTAGCTTTAGCTAGCTGAAGTTTCTCCTTGCGTAAGCAAGGTAAGGGGCTCAAATGCCGAATAATTGATTTTTTCAATTATTTGAGCCGAAAAGATTGAAAAACATCAATTATTTAGACCCCCCCCCTCCCCCCCACCCCCCGGTCTCAGGCTCGATTCCTCCCTGGTCCATCCCCCCCCCCGGGCAGTGGCTCAGTGTTCAGCAGTCTCGGTTTGCCCGTTTTGGACTTGGTGCTACGAACTTTTACATGTTCCACCGATTCAGCTTGTTCATTTGAGACCTCAGTCTTCTCGGTAAACCACCTCGCAAGAATCTGTGCACACGCAGCATGCAGAACCCAGAGGTGCTTTCAGACAGCTTCTGACGCCTCTCGTTGTTTTCATTTTTCAAGGTTTGCCACGCCACCATGTGCGTTTGCGTGTCGCATCCTACGAATCTTGCCGGGCCTCTCGTTGTACACAAGCTACCTATGAATCCACTCTGTCACCGACCCATCTCATGCAACAACTGCTAGCTTTCGTTCACCCGCTCCTCAAGTTTCCAAAGAAGGATTTCTGCAAAAGGAGCGCTCAGGTCGTCAGGGCAAGCTTGTGTGAGTGCAACACCGGCGCTTAGGTTCGAAAGACAAATAGTTTCCCGCTTGTGGTTGGAAGACGAACAGTAGAATTGGTAGACTCTCCACCGAGAAAAAAAAGCCTCCCCCTTCAGGTATACGGGGGGTGACCGCTGCGTTGTGCTCAAGGTGTCACGGACATGCATGTGAGGTTCGCCACCATGGTGTCTTGTAGTCCATGGTGGATTTGGGACGGCCACAGAGGACTTGCTTAATTTCCCACAAAGCCAAGGACTAACTGATTTGCCCATGTTTTTTCTGGGAAAACAAACAATTTTGAAGGCACGTGAGTGAGGCTGAGACCAGAACCCACAGCACTTCCTTGGAGTTGCGTGGGACATACTTCCCAAATTGATGGCAGGAACCGCCCCAGAGCGAGCTTCATCCCACTCGGCTTTGAGGTTCCACGTCAATCTGCCAGGCAGAAAAGTAAAATGAATTATATGCAAAGCAGCGAGAAGCCGCGGAGTCGAGCGATAGCTGCCCTTACCCTGCTGCGACATGAAGCCCACCACTGACCAAACCTGGGGTTGTTAGATAAAAACTCTCACTGGCGTGCGAAATGGAAGACTAAGGAACCCCCAAACAAATGAGGATCCTTCCCCCCTCATTTGAGGAAACGCCGGACAGGGCTTGGCAGGCACGAGTCAAGTTTAAACGAATTAACGCTGAATTCATTGCACGTCATGTTGCTGAAGGCCGGGAGTGCACACGGTTTGACCGTTTGCAGCAAGCATCGTCGGGGGGGGGGGGGGGGGGGGGGGAGGGTGGGGGGGGGGGGGGGGGGGGGGGTGGGGGGGGGGGGGGGGGGGGGGGGGGGGGGGCAAAAATCAGCACCCCCGCACCAGCACCCCCCCCCCCCCCCTCTCCAGAAAGGCTCGATCTGAAATCTTCGAGTGATACACGAGCCGCACACGCCCCTGGAAGACTGTGGACGGAAGGCAGGGATTTTCAAGGGGTTTGGAAACCAACCCAGCGAGTGAAGGACCCTCCAGCAGATGCCATGTTAGTGGGAGATAGAGTTTGACTTGGTGGGATTGATGGCTGAGTGTCGCACTCCGGTTTTCAATTTCAACAAACAAACAGCACGGGTACAATGGGTACGACACTGTGAGATGTGTGGGATCCATAAGTAATTGCTTTGGATGCGCCAACTGTGGATTTCACCAGTTTCACTCGTGGTCCCATCAACGATTGAGGCTAAGCCCTGGCAGTCAATGACATGCCCATTGTCGCCCTCTATTTTGTGTGCTCTTTGAGCATGTTGGGTTGACTTTGGTGGCGAATCGAGCGGAGGGTCCACCCGGAATATGAAACAAACAACATGAGTGAAGCTTGACACAAGGATGACATGTAAAGGAGCCACACATTTGATGAAACCTCAGTTGAGTTTGTTGGCCCGTGTTGATTTACAACCTCGTTGCGGCATGTCCTTTCAAAACC